TAAGATATAAAAATACATAAATAACCCTAAAATTTAGGAAAAATATTAGTGAAAAACTTATTTCCCAACCAAACTCTCCCTTATATTCAAAAACATGAGTTTGGTCATTTGGTGAAATTAATTGGCATTTTTTTTTTCTTTTGAGGCAGATGGCGTGAAATCAGTGAAATGAACATTTTCTATTTTGAAATAATCTGAACGGTCAAGAACTACATTAGCACGTGGATTTGAATATTTGTTAGTCAATACAGTGGGGCGCAGCCCTGTACGGTCTCAGAATAAGGCACTGAATAGGCTATGGCCGGTGATCAAATGAGATTTAAGAATAAAAGCTTCTTCTTCTTCTTCTTCTTTTTGATAAAAGAATAAAAGCTAATTAAAATGTTATACCATCTTTTTTTTTTTTAAAGGTAAAAAGTTACACCGGATGCACAATGGATGCATAATATACACTTCTCTTAATTGATATATAGTTTTTGCATCCTACTTTCCCTTTTTAATTGATAATTTCAATAGATAAATTTTTAAGATAATCTTTTATTTGTACTCTAAATATTATTATTTTTTACAATTAACCCTTTTTTAAATTTTTATTTCTAATCAATATTCTCCAAATTTTAAAACCTATAAAAAATTTAAAAATTAACTACCAAATCTTTTATTTACACTTTGACTTAGTTGATAATTTAAAATGTTTTACAAATTTCAAATTATAAAAAGTGTTAATTATGAATAAAAATTTTAAATGATGTTAATTAAAAAATAATAATATTTACGATATAAGTAAGAATTTGGCCAACTTCTAAATATAACTTGCAAGATGTTAGAGAATTTTGATGGATGCGTTCGTACTTCTTTTAATGAATAACATATTCTCAATAAGGCAACAGCGCCAGCCAGATGAAGTCCAAATGAAAACATCACCAAACCCCATATCATAATTCATAAGAAACAAACAAGGTACAAGAAGAAAGAATCTGACACTCCAAAATGTCGTCCATCCAACCACAACTCTTGACCTTTAGTTGTTGCTGTAAACAGAGATATTGCTATGAGTTTTTCCTAGGAAAATAGTCTCTCAAACTCATAACAGACTATTTGGATAACTAATAAATTCCTCCCAACAATTTTAGTGGCTTAATAGTAATTAATCTTCTTCTTGTAGAAGTTGAGGTTTTCTTTTTTTTGAGAAATAGAAGTTGAGGTTTTCTATTTGAATTGATGTGGGTATAAATCGGTAGAAAAAATCGCCTCTCATGAAAGGACCTTTAAAAGAAGAAAAGGCTTATAGGTTCCTAGACTTTTAATACCATTAACTGACTTTTAATACCATTAATGTATAGTTAGTTTAACAACAATAAAAGGACGGTAGTTCTGATGAGTCTTTGTAGTGGTAAGGACTAAGAGATAAGAGTAGTGTTTTCCCAGCATAGCAGTTCGTTTTTCCATCATCCTTTTGGTGGCTGGACCCTGTCTCAACTAGAGGCAAGACAAGGAGAAGTGGAGAACTAAGACTGGATTACATTAATTGGTTTAATGAGAATTCAACTAACTGCTGTTGTTTGCTTGTTTTTAGTATGCGGTGTTTCCTAGTAAAGAGCTATATCCGTTATTTATAAATATTTTATTTGTTTGGATAAGTATTATTTTTAAATTCTAAAAAAGAAAAAAGACAAATAATGGGTATCAAAAAAGCATATATGTAAGTATCAAATAAAATAATAAATATAAGAGTTTAAAATTATTTATGCAACCTATTTAACATACTTATTTAACTAATTTGTTACCTATACTTATATAATTGAAATTGTACTTGTCTTATTATGTTATATCTATATAATAATAATTTTTAAATATAAAAATGATAAAATATAAAAACAAACCCTAAGCCAAAGAAATCATATCCGCAATAATAGCAACTCAGGTACACAAGTATATACCCGCAAGTTACTTAATACGTATTGGGTTAGGTACCATAGTACAAGTCCCCATCCACCGACCAAGCGCAAGATCCACCTAAAATAATGTGGTCCATAATATCACTAACCATGATGGTGACCGCTTTAATACCAATTGAACCAATCTAAGTCAAAACTCACCATTAACCTAATAGTTTTTAGGGTCAAAGTTTACAAACTTTTAAAAGTTTAAACTCAAGTTATTAATAATTGTTAATTTTTATAATTATATACGAGACTCACTTATAAGTATCTACCGATGTAGGATTCATAGTATTACATACCAAGTAAAGATGTTCAAGTGCTAAGTTTAAAAAATTATATTTGAAAATTTTTTTCATCAAGTATCAGAATACCTCATATTCGACTTATACCTAAAAATGCTTACCCTATTTACCGTTAAGGCCTGTTTGAATTTGGAGATGTAATTGAATGGGGCGGGTACACTCATGTAGGGGATACATTTTTGAGAATGATTTGGAAGTTATTAATTTTGAAACACATAAAAGTTAATCTTAAACACTTTTATTACATGGGAAAAGAAAAAATTAAGACATTTGAATATTAAAATATCAAAATATTTAATAATAATTATATGA